AGAATAGTGTCAGTTTAATGTCCAAGACCAGTGAGCAAAAATTACTTGGCGATACTTTAATAATATTAGAGCGTAATCTCCAATTTAAAGTGCAATTTAATTTTATTCGACATATAATCAAAATCTTCATAATTCTGTTGTCTAATCTGTCTCTCCATCTCTGCTCTGGACAGACCAGTTCTTCCTCTATCCATCCTCATCAATCTAACTCCATAACATTTCACCCCATCCCAGAATGCACTGCTCCTCTCCATCTTTCCTTTACATTCTCCTCTGCTTCCTCATTAAGGTATAGCAGTGGTTTTACCTTTAACACACCTCCTGTTTGTCTTCAATAATTCTCATGCCTTTCAGAGTCATTTCTTATTAACATATTGAGTATCACTCTCTTCATGTCTCTTTTAAAGCAGTAAATTAAATCCAGAAATACTTTATGGCATAAACCTGCAAAGAGTAACTCTCAGATGGTGAGTGTTTGTCAGGATAATTGTTTGATTAATTGATTGAAAGTGAAAAGTTTGCCCACAAATGAAACCGCTATTGTTATTTACTCTCCCTCATGTCGTTCCAAACCTGTATAGCTTTATTTCTACCATGGAAGAAATGTCTCAGAGATTTAAGAGTTTCAGTGAAGAAGGACTTTAAGATGTAATAATTACTTTAAAACAATATTCACTCAGAAATTGCTAGTAAATTTAACAAGTAACATTGGATTATGCATGACATTTTTGAAGTATAAAAACTGAAATAGCATTTTCTTGTAACACATACTCCAATAATCCTACTTTTATGGTGTTTTTGGTATTTTTGGTATTATCATTTTTGGAGTTTGAAAGACCAAATAAAACAAGAATGCTTTCTTGGAAAGAACCAGCTTGGGAATTTCTCCTTTTGAGTTCCATGGGAAAAAGAAAGTCATACAGTCTTAGAGCATTATTCATTTTTTTGGGGTAAATCTTTCCTATAACTTAACCAAAGATGATCATAACATTTGCTGTAATAAACTCTCAAATCTACATTTCAGTCTGCCACCAGCAGTAGCACAACATCCTTTACTGTAAGAAAACAAATAGTCGTTCCTCAATCAAATGGAGACTCGTATGCTCCCAAACCGGTATATGACCATATCTGCGGAATGAGTCTTCCGGGAGATTGTTGGCATGTTGTAGGCAGGACTGGAGAGCACTGATCAGGGCGGCAGCTCTCTTTGATGGACTGTCTCTCTTCACATGGTTGGTTTTCTAATGAGAACGTGCCAGTGTAACACACACTTGGCTGTAAGCATCCATACATTCCAGCTGACCACAGAAGTCTGGTCCACAGAATTCCAAAAGTCCTCTCTTCTATTGCCAGATGCCTGACCTGAAACTTTAGCTCCACCCACTGAACAGTTCAAAAGTGACTGGATCATTACATAATCATCTCAACATAGGAGTTTTTCAAGTTTCACGGGATGCTTTTAGAAGTATCTCAAGAATGACCGACAACCCA